GTGTTCATTAATTTCAATACACACGTTCATCACATTTAAGACTACTGTAATTTAGTTTTTATTTACATCATTCATTACATTTAATTTCATGCATAACCACATGCTTCCTTTACATGTTAATTAAAATTCATTGAGAAATTTCTAACAGTGTATTTTTTATTACATACGTACAACTGTGTCGGCTCTCATTGGCTTTATTAAAGTATTTCGAAATGTCTATGTTTTTTCAGCATATAAATTAACGATAAAAAAAAACTTTCTGAACATCTCAGAGTAGCTCATAACATGAGTTTTTCAACACTGAACACTACGCCATCTCTAATTTAAAAAATGAAATTTTGGACAAAATGCATTTTGGAATTCTGTTCCTCATATATTGTTGAAATAATAAGATTTCCCCCATACACTATGTAATAAATTGTGGCGACTCGCCACTAGAGATCCACGAGACTCATTCAGTTTCGCGTGAGCACCGCAGCCACGCGAATTCCCTTTAAATAGAACATGATTCTGGATTCATTCCAGGCGTTCTAAGACAGGTCCCACACTACATCGCCTTATTGATGAGTCTAGTAGTGTGGGACCAAGAAACGCTGCAGCCGACCACAAAGCTTCAAGTCAGACCTCCTTAGTGGATATCCACAAAATAAAGATGTTTTAATATTATATGATGTTTAAGTCTCGAAACACAATAAATGTAGCAAGCTTTAAATTTTAAGAAATTGACCAATTATAATCGATTATTCTTCTCACATTCGCTTATGATTGATCAATTTCTTAAGACATAAGATTTAAGGCTTACTACATCTACCTATTATGTTCTGAAATTAAAAGAGATCTTAACCCGATATTCATAGTCTATTCTTATTTTAAGGCTGTCTTAAGTAATACCTAATGTTTTAAAATGCTAATACAGTTCTGTGATTGGGTTATGGCTTTTTATGATTGTATATACTTACCCAGTATCCGGAAAAAGATTAAAATAGATTGAAATAAATTGATTTTTGGTCATTGCTGAATCCAAATTCTTGATTTTTTAAATCCATTTCAATCCATTCAATGTTTGAATCTATTTTAATCCATGATTTGGAATTGAAACTACGGGATTCTTATTCTTTTCAATCAAAAAAAAGTTTTACGGAAAAAATAAACCATGCAATTCATTTTAATCCATGACGTGGGATTGAATCTACAGAATTTGTATTCCTTTTAATCGAAAAAAAGTTTTGCGGAAAAAATAAGCCATGCAATTCATTTTAATCCATGACATAGGATTGAATGATGTAATTCTTATTCTTTTAATCTAATACAAATTTGAGAGCTTTAAATCCATTTTTGTCCATAATACGAGATTAGAAGAAAGTGAGTCTTATTCTTTTCAATCAAAAAAGTTTCGCTAAAAAAATTAACCACGTAATCAGTTTTAAATTCAAAACCGATTCGAGGACCTCGAATCCAGGGATGAAATAGGTGATTAAAAGTCTTATTCTTTTCAATAGAAAAAAATTTGTTCAACTGGAATTGAAAACTACATTTTCTATTCCAGAATTTAGAACTAAACAGTATTAAAAACTGGAGTTATTTTTGGATTGAAAGACATAGAAAATGATCTTCATGCAAATTCTATAAATGAATAAAATTAATTAAAAAATGGATTCTTTTCAATCCATCTTAATTTACTGGAATAATCATAAAAAAGGATTGACACAAAGATATTTGAATTCATCTGAATCCATGAAAATCACGACCTAATCGAATAGGATCCTACACATGAATAGAAAATGATTCAATTCCTTTCTATCCATATGGATAGAAAATTATTCAATTTTATCACATTCAATTCCTTTCTATCCATGTACATGAATCAAGAATTTTTATTCAAATGAATTAAAATAGATTAAAAATTTTCAATTTATCTCAATTCCTTTTCGGATACTGAGTAAGACGGTTTTAATGGAAGAATCGACTATGAATACCAACCTTAAGGCGATGCTAAAGC